TTGAAATAGTAAATTATTCCTAGCAGACTGAATGGGCAATAAGACTGCCATCCAGTTCTCCTCATAAACGAAAGCAATAGATAAATAAAGGAGAGCCAACTCACTTAACACGCGTGGCTCGGTGCACTGCTAATTATTAACCCAGGCACAAGAGAGGGGTTCACCTAGAGTGTAGTTAAATCATTTTTAATAGAGGTAAACACTAGCCATGTGAATGAGTAGCACTCAAGAAAGTTTTTAATCAACAACGTTTAGGAATCACCCAGCCTAATTGCCATAACTTATTAATAATAACAAGTAAGTAATCTAGTCTTTTTATGGCCCCTGTCTCTGGAGGACTCAGTGCATTAAAGATCTCTGGGGTGTGAATCTCTCAACAGCTGTGGGAGAGGAGGGCAAGTACCCTTGATGCTCACTCCTAATGGAAGAAACTGGACATCGAGGCTAAGAAAGACAAGTATGAGTTCCTTCTCATTTTCTTCTTCCCACATCTGAGTCACCCACTTCTCCTTGGCCTTTCATCTATCTATAGGACAGAATGGCTCCAGGGGGTGGGGGAAGGGCCGGAGAACAGGCTGCCTTTGTTCACGTGAATGATTGGGGTTGAGGGAAGTGAGTGTGAGCAGAGCTTTGTCTGAAGGGGTTTATTTCCTCTGCACAAGTGTCTCTGGTGTCCTTTGGCCTCAACCTGATGGTGGCTGGGTGGCTGCTGGCACCTCCCAGCTCTGTGCTTGTGTGATTCCCCACTCCTGAGAGAGCAGGAAAGATGGCTCTGGGTCTTACTCTCAGAGTGAGTGTTCACAGCAGCCGATGGGAGAACGTTTGTGTAAATTATCTAACTTAAGTACTGCCCAAGACCAAAGTGTGGGCATTGAAGTATTCCCCGGTCATCCACAAGGAACTTCAAGTTCAGAGCGTGTAAGTGATCGACTACCATATGATTCCTAGTGATTGGTTTGCCTGCAAGGCAAATAGCACACTCAGGTTTGAGACCATTTGAGTTTTATGAGTGATGAGTCCCTTTGACTTGGGAGTTGGGGGTGATGGGCACAGACACCAGAGTACATGATGTTAAGAGTATTTCTGTGGCTAATATCTTCTGAGCACTGAATTTTGGGGAAGGTAATATATGTAGTCAAACAGCGCAGGATTAACCTTCTTCTTACTTGTTTTTGGTTCTTCTTTCCATGAATCATTTGAACCCGAGTCTAGATGGCTATTTCAGTCTATCAAAGTGAAATTTTGAAGAAGGCTCCCAAGCCGTTATTATACAAAGCAAAGAGCTAACTAATGCTAAGAATGGAATGATTTATGCCACAGACTAAAAAAGACATAAATTTGGAGTGTAAATTACAAGATAACTCATGTGCAAAATTGTTATAATATTTATACTAGTGTTTATTAAAATTTACATTTGAATGAAAAGGTGCAAAATGTGAATGAAGCTGAAAAACTTTTTTTTTTCTTAATCGAAAATAGCCTATATGAAAATCAAGAGAGCTTTTTGGAATTAGAAGATATGAATAGCACTCTATGCAGATTTGTCTGCTAAAGCATGAAATATACAGTGAAACTGGAAGGAATAACGTGACTAAACCCCTGCCTGAAGTTCTTCCCTCCCCGTCCCCTGATACTTTCCAGTGACTCAAATCCATACCAAATTTCGAAGGAAGCCATCCCTGGCAAAAGCCATGGAGAGGAGGGTGAGGATCCTGGACAGATGTCGAGACTAGATCCGTATTTGAGAGACTAATCTTATTTCACTGATGTTTTCAAGGTTGGAAATTTTTGTCTGGATTCATTAGAGGAGAATGATAAATCTCTAATTTGTACTTTGCTAATAATAGGATGAGCTTTTGTGCTTCATGAAGGTTAAATGGATCTCATGTAGTCCTCGCTGAGTCTTTAGGGCCATGTGTGATCTTGGGAAAAGTCTCCTACTTCTGTGGGACTCCGTTTCCTCATCTGTAAAGTGAGGGGGTTGGACCAGATGAGCACTAAGACACACTAGCCCTCTTTCCTTCCCTCCCGTGTGGGAGCATACCACACCAGGCAGTGAGGACCCACAAGGATGATTAAAACACGTAACTCTTGTCCTCGTGAGCTCATGGTCTACATAAATAATTATAATATGAGCGGTAATTGCAATGTGCACACATTACTCTAGGGGCACAGAGGTGGAAACAGGGACTTCCTGTCTGTGGGGATAGGCTGTGTGAAACTTCGCAGTGGCTGTAACATTTGAAGTGTGAGGAGGAGGGCTCCTTCCGGTGTGCAGGCTGGTCAGAGGTGGGTGGTTCTGACGGCGTGTTCCAGGCAAGCAAATGCATGTGGCAGGTGTATTTAGGAAGCCACATGTGGTCCTTCTCATGGTCTCCGGACAGTATGGAGCTGTGGGGCAGTGCTAGCCACACACTGCTGGGTCAAAACCTGTGCCAATGAAGAATGATTGAAGTTAGGAGGTAATACACTGCGTATATATGTTAGGGCAGAGCTGGCTGTCTTGTAACAGACCACTATGCCCATTTACAATCCCAGTTAGCTTTTGTGAATATGAGGGATGGGGTGCTGTTCTTAGCCAGCTCCCTGGGCATCGTGAGCCTACAGCCCTGTCATCCCTGAGCCACAGCCTGGCTTCGCCCTGGGGAGCTTGTGTAGGGCATATGAAAGATGCCCCTCGCAAGCGTCACATCTGCACCAGCAGAATGAAAACTGCTCCCACGGGGATTCTGTCCTTGTGGGCTGCTCAGTCTACCAGGTGCGTATTTCTTCTTTGAAAGGTGCATGTGCCCCTTTCCTCTCCACTCTCTGTGATCTTGTAAGGAGCTGCTGTTGTAGCTGTTGAATGGCAGCAAATTCGATGTTGACGATAGAGTTCTTATGTAGTTTTTTTTTTCTTTTTAAGGATTTTATTTATTTATTTGACAGGCAGAGATCACAATTAGGCAGAGAGGCAGGCAGAGAGAGAGGAAGGGAAGCAGGCTCCCTGCTGAGCAGAGAGCCCGATGCAGGGCTCGATCCCACGACCCTGGGATCATGACCTGAGCCGAAGGCAGAGGCTTTAACCCACTGAGTCACCCAAGTGCCCCTCTTATGTAGTTTTTAATATGAAGATAAAGTTTTAAAATTCAGAGTATAGATGAAAAGCATGGCATTGTTAAAAAATTAAAATAATACAGAAGTGCTTACATAAGTTTTAAGGACGTGACCCCGCATTTCATCACTGAAGACAAACATTTCCATGGCTGTCTGTCTTCATGGAGATAGACGCAGGCATACACCCATGCAAATGGGCTCAGGATACATGTTTCACATTGCTGTCTGATTTCTTTTCCTTCAAATGAAATCAGAGTCTTTAAATAATCATTTTAAATGGCTGCACCATAATCCATCATGTGGGATAAATTATTTGTGGTTTGATTCCCCGTGGACAAATGGGCAATATCCATCATTTTCCCATTATACACAATGCTGCGATGAACATTCTTGTAGACTTACTCGGTGCCTTGAGTTATTTCCTTAGATTAAGTTCCTGAAAGCAGTACTGTTAGGTCAAGGACTGTATAGTTAACATTTCCTTACATCTTGTCAAGCTGTCTTCCAGAAGTTTTGTACCTATCTGCAGCCCCCTTAGCAGGGCAGGCCCTGGCTCACGTCTGGGTGGGACTGTGTTCCTACCAGCACTGTCTTCCATCTTTAAGTTACTGAGTGAGAGATGTGAGCGGCCAAGAGTACTTCTGGGGTGGCTGGGAGGCAGTAGAAGCAGGACGAGCCTGAATGAAAAGGACTTGATGTATGCTTATCTGTTCACCAAAAGATATTTACAAACAGACTCATCACGATACCTAACTGTCAAACACTGAAAACAATCCAAATGTTCATTAAGATTACAAGGGGAAAATAAATTAGGGCATAATTGCACTGTGGAATATTACATGGGAAAGAGAATGAATGATCCACTGTTATATGCTACATGGGGCATGGGTGACTCCCACAATTGCTGTGCAGCAAAAAAAAAAAAAAAAAAAAAGGCAGAAAGGAAAAATACATACCATATGAGTCCATTTATATAAAGTCTATAAACAGGAAAAAGTGAATGTAAGGTGTTAGATGCCTTGTTGTTTGTTACCCTTAGGGGATATTAGTGACTGCTTGTTCATTTATGCCTTTTGCTAGACGTATGTTTCCCAGGGCCAGACAGAGTGCTTGGCATATGGCCTCCCCAGTATTTGTTGAAAAAAATTAATATTTTTTCACCTTTTAACAGACTTTGACCTAGGATTAATGTGAAAACATGATGTCATTAGTTGCGAGTTATGATGCAGAGAATTCATATGAATGTTTTTTTCTGGGATTTAAATATGGAACCCTGGTATATTTGTAGATGCTTCCTCTGTTTATTCTGTTGTGTGGCGTTGTTGCTTTTGTGTTATGTATAAACCAGTCAGACACTTACTGGTGGGTGAGGGGTGACGGGTTTTGGAATCAGATCTTTGGGTTCAGTGCCGAGCCCATTGCTTACTCCTCCGTGGCCTTGGATGAGTGACCCAACCTTCTCCAATCTCACTTTCGATAGTTTGTTTAATAAGGATGAGAATACAACCTACTCTCTAGGGTCGTTGTGAAAAATAATAATATTAATATTAATGACAACCACCAAATTATGTTTGCTATGTGCTGGACACTGACCTAAGCTCTTAAAACAGAGGACATTATTTGTTTGGTCTTTCCAGTACTCCTATCTATTTGTGGTTTGGGAAATGTAAGCCACAGCATTAGTAAGTGTTGAGCCAGAACTTAAACCCAGGAGTTCCATCCCAGAGCCTGAGCTCTTGACCACTACCTCTGAGTTAAAGGAAGTACTGTGCCCAGAGCGCTCAACAAAATCAGCATCTGTTAGCTGTGATGATCGTCGTCGTGATTTTCAGCATCATTATTAATATGTTTTTCTCCTCTCTCTCTCCCTGCTCTCCTCTCTTGTTTCTCCACCCTCCTGGCAGATATGTTCCAGCAAGGTAAGTTCACGGTCTCCTGCCTGCTTCTCCACTGGCTATGCTCTTTTGGGAACAAGGGTGTTGTCTGTGCGCAGAGGGTTATAGAGCTTTTCATTTGCTGTGGACTCATCACCGGGGCTTTAGGAGATACCATGGGGACAATAGCCTAAGGTGGCCTGAAGTGCCATCGGCCTCTCTGGGCCTCTGCTTGTCCCACCTCTGCTTCTGGACAATGCCTGGAGGTGGGGCCTGGACAGTCTGGGCAGGCACACTGGGGTCAGTCATGGCTGGACCCACATCAGGGAACAGCATGCTTGGGACTCGTGGGACGTGTGAGGAGCAGGTGTCTCCGGGGCGAGGGTTCAGCTAGAAGGCCCCTGTCCCTCAGGGGTCCTGTACAGGGCCAGCTGCCACTGGGGCGGGGCTCCCGATGCCGGCTCCTCATGGGGGTTTCTTTTCTCTGCCAAACAAACATGTCGCTGTCTTGAGAGGAGGTGCAGACAAGACTCTGGCAGGATACCTTCAACCCAGGTGCCCCTGGCGACCCCTCCAGCTGGGCCTGTGACAGAGTTGGAGCCAGCGAGGGCATGCAGTGTCTACCCTATTTCTCCAGCCAAGGTCATGCGTTCTGGGGAGCCAGAGATGGAAAGTTGAGCTGCGTCTTCCCGTGCATGTTTTTATCCTCACCGAGGATGCCCAGCCAGCACCTGTGCTCTGGGATGCTGAGGGAGACTCGTATGCGTGGCCTCATTGAACCTGCCAGACACACATGAAGGGGGTGCGGCCTCTTTCCCTTTTTTTTTTTTTTTTTTTTTTTTCCTTAAATCACAGTCTGGAACCGTTGGGTAGCATCAGCAGGGCGTAACTATATTCAGGCCGGGAAATACGTTTGTGGCACACGTTTGCTATGTCTCTCTTGAATCCAAGGCTGGCACAGAAGAAAAGACACCATTTTAAAAATACATCTTGGCATCCCATAAATAGCTTCCGAATAATCTCCCAGGCTTGATATTTTCACAACGATTATTTCAGCCCAAACATGCGGTGTGTGTTGTGGAGAATATCTGCCTGCTCTCTCTGAGAGAAGCGCATTTGTGGGTAACAATGAGGGGACTGTTGTGTTTGTCTTTTAAGAGTCTGGAGTCATAGACCTACTTTTATAAATAATTCATAAATCCCAACAAGCTATAAGTAATAAGTTCCATTTGGCTAGAGACTAAGAGATGAGCAAAATTGAAAAGGTGCCGTGACTGTTGATGTACTGAAGTCCTTGCTGTCAGGGCCCCCTTGCTCCGTGTGTGTCCTTCCTTGACAAACTGGGGGCCCGTGGCAACGCTCTGGGAGGAGAAGGTTTTTTTTTTTTTTGCATGAGCTAGACTACAGGCGCCATGCAATGCTGCATTGTGTTCCTCCTTTGAGACACAAAACGCTTGGGTTTAGGAAGTCTCTTTGGTGCTCGAGTGCCAAGGTCCCGGGAGAACAGGGAGAGAAAAGGCTTCTAAGGGGTCTGGTTTTTCTTCAAATGATCGCGAGCATTCACGGCTGTCATGGTTGGTATAAAAAATGGCTTATTAGGGCTCCCGATGTCAAGTTCGCCTCCTTTTATTATCCATCATGCCACTGAATTGATGGGGTTTGCCTGTCAGTAACAGTGATATGCAGAGCAAAAGTTATAATCATCTGCAAATCACTGGCTATCGGGACTTGAGAGCTTCTTCCAGACATGGAAGCTGCTAGTTGTCTGTCGCCCCACGGGAGGGTGTATGGTATTACTAGGATTTCAAGTGAAGAGAGCTCAACTGGCTTCTGTGAATTATTTACATGGTGCTGGCCTTCTAGGACCATTTCATACGGTGGCACGTTTTCTGAGATGGTAGCCAAGAACCCGCCACCTGGTGCCCCCTCTTTACTTTTGCTTCTGGCCATCCTGTGGAGGAAACAAGTGCCCAGTAAAATGCGACAGTTCCGATGTGTTGGTGATGATCAAGTCAGACCAAGACAAAAGGTCTGTGGCTTACAGAATCCAAAACGCGACTGGGCCATGTCTTCCGTGGTTGAAACTCTGTTCCAGAATTGTGTCATTGGTTTGAAATGCAGGGTGGGGCCCCAGAGGGTGCTAGAAATAAGCAACCAGAAAACTGTGGCTTCAGATGAACAGCAGGAGGTGGCCGTCCACCCACACACACACAGTGGGAACTCTGAGTGGCTGGGGCTTCCTGACCCCGCCGTGGGCATCCAGGCCCTGCCAGCTTTGGCTTTGCGGGGGGAGTCTGGGGTGCTCGCAGGAGACACCGCATTGTCGGTCCACGCCTCTGGTGGTGCATGAGAGACATGTGCCCACCCGCGCGTTTGGGCCACTGGACCCCGTGGCGGGCCCAAGAGGGAGGCAGCCTCGCAAGCTGCCAACATCAGACATTCTCAGAGGAAACCAAAGTTATTTCCCCTGGATTGCATTATCTTTTATTTCACTGCAGATCAATCTTGTTAGAGGAGGTGACAGCGCGGCAGCGACTGCTGGGCCTTTCTTGGCTGCGTCCGTGGTGTGTGCACGTGGCTGCGTGTTTCCAGCCGGCTCCTGGGCCGTTTTAGAGTTTGCTTCATTTCTTTCATCTGCAGAGGCCGCTTGCTGGGGCGGTTAGACCCGTAGGGCGTGAGGACCGTCAAGGACCAGTGGGCCTGTGGCTGCGCCCACTGTGTAGCCGAGTTCCAGGGCGGTGGGGCCACGATTTCAAGGAGCCTTAAGTGACCTCCGTTCTCTGTTGTCCGCAGAGCTCCTGCGCCCGTGGATGGCTCTCAGAGCTGCCCAAGTGCCATAGAACGGCCCTTAACAACATCAAACGCAGCTGAAAACGCTGTGTGGGCACACGTGTCTGGAATCTCGAGTTTTAGAGCACTTTTATATCCATCGCTTAATAATGAAGTCAGGACCACACACACACACACACATGCACGCACGCCTCATTTGAAGTTACTGAAGCACCTTTTGAATACTCATCCGTAGGCTCAGCCTTGATTCTGAAATCGAACAGAGCCCGGGTGAGTGGCTTGGAAATCAGAGCGGTGCCACTCGGCAGGGTGTTGGAAAGCGTAAGTGGGCGCAGTATAAAGACTTCACCACTGAGTTAATTCTGCGCTCTGTGCTGTGAACTGAAGTCCCGGCTGCACTGGGAGCCGGAGGAGGCCTCGCCTTTCCTCCCGCTCCGTTCTCGCCTGGAGCTGGGGTCTTGCTATTAAAGAGATTTTCTTTCTGCTCAAGTAATTGTTGACAGCTCTCAAAGATAGTGCACTTGTTTATTTTATGGCCGGTAATAATGGGCCAGGCACTTTCTAGGCCCCGGGGAAACGGGGACGGATGAGACAGCAAGGGCTTTGTGCTCGGGGAACTCACGGTCTAGCTTGGGGGGCACCGATGCCAAGCATGCCAGTAAATAATCAAGGCACAGTCTGAGGGATGCGGGCAGTGAGGAAGATGTCATAGGATGGGGTGCTTGTGGCGAGAAGGGCCACTTTAGATGGGATGGTGAGAGGATGCCAAGAAGGACCAGCGGTTGGGGGATATGGAGGAACCCCAACAGGCAGGAACACCCCAATATTCAAGGACCAGAAGGAAGCTGGTGAGGCGGGAGATTGCAAGTGAGGGAGAGTATTGTGTGAGATGAAGTAATGAGAAAAAGGGTAGGAGTGTCTTCCGGAGACTGGAGGAAGGAAGTCAGAAGGTGTGGTCCATTTATGTGAAAGATCCCACACTGGTTTCTGTGAAAATGCGTAAGCACAATGTGTGAGAAATTAAAGCCAGGATCAGGGGCTGAGGCTTGGCTGAGATGGGCACCTGCCCCCAGGCCCTAAGCACTCCCCTTAGTGGGTCCCTGCAGCCTGTTCCTGGCCAGCTGGCCTCCACTGAGTGTCCCACTTTCTGCCTACTTTACCCGTGGGGAGTATTGTGTCCATAACTTATACCTCCTCTCCTTAAGGCTGGCAAATTGTGCCCATCAAGAGCATTATTAAAATACTCCTCTACTAATCTTTAGATTTTAAAGAGCCACTTCTCTCCGATATACAATAAAGCGTATCATATGTATTACATAGTAATATATACATTAAATGTGCAGGAGACCTTAGTTTGGCTCCCAACAGGCTGGTTGCTTTGCCCTGTAGCCTCAGTTTTCCCATCTGTAAAATGAGAGAATGGGGGAGATTCCTGACCTGACTTGGCTTCCTGCTGATTCTCTGTCTTGGTGAGTTTTAGTTGGATTTGAGTTAATAGAGTCCAGAAATATGCCATACTACCAGTTATGACCACTGTCTAAAGAACTTGGGTGAAAGCAGAGCCTTGTGGCTGGGAATTAAGGTTAAAAGAATTGCGGTTTCAAAAGCGTAACCTACTCACAAGCCCATTTTGAAGCATCAGCTTCAGAATTCACAATGGATGGCATTGCTTTTATTAATTTGAAGAGAACAATAAATCATAGTTTTGTTTCTGGCAGCCCAGCCAAGCCCGGTAAATCGTTGGGGTGGGCTTATGGTGACAGGGACCAATGCCATTTATAATGTGTTTGCCTTGAGCTCTTTTGCATATCTCAGACCGGTGGGTCAAGCTGCTGAGGCTGGATCTTAGGTTTTCCCAACCACTTCAGAAAATCCATGTTATAAAGCTCTGACCCTTTAGCCATGAATTATGGTTCCCTTGGTAATGTTATACATTATGAAATACTGTTTTCTTTATGAGTGTGGGATTTGGGCAAATAAATGAAATCTATTGTTACCATTTCCAGTTAAAAATTCCAAGTTGTCACATGATGCTAACGAGAGAATGAGAAAAATGCATTAACATTTTTATGGTGGAAAGTGGCTGGTTCCCTGGTCACACTTCCCATATGCCAATATTTACTATGTATGTATACTATTCCCCATTCTGTCCAGAATCAGTAGAGTATTCTGAGTTATGTAGGAAACGCATCCATCTTTCCAGCACAAACTGAACAAAGTTATTATTTGATTTTACATACGTTCATGTTGTGTGT